GAATTTGTTCTTGGAATGTGTTTTCATGGCCCTCCCAAGTGTAGCGGATAGGAGTGAGCTTACTTCGGATTATTCATTGCAACTGGCTATTATTATTTGTTTATATGCCTCCAGGGAAAACATTGCTTTTGCTTCTTGTCCTTGTGATTCTACACTTTATTCACTAGAAGGGAAAACATTGCTTTTTGCCTCTTGTCCTTGTGATTCTACACTTTATTCACGAGACTCTTAAATCCTCAGAGTACAAACTGTCTGTCTGTTGCTCTGAATACAGCTGGCTACTGCATGGGACTTTAGTCACCTGTCCGTTAGCTCCACTCTCCCAGTTCCACCAACTCTAGAGCCCAGGGTTACTGGGAACTTATTTTTCAGGGACTGGAGAGACGAATAGCTAGCTAGTGGGTATGAGGATGGACGCCTGGTATAAAATGGAGTTGTTTTTTTCTCCATCACATCAGAATGTGAGGGACAATGCAGTAACTTCCTTTTCTGGCAGCCTCCTTGGTGACTTCCTTTCTGTTCAGAATTGTACCTTTCTTGAGGCGGCTAACTGTATTGTTTAGAAACCCAGCTGAAAGAAACTGCTGTTCTTTTCCAACTTTTGGTTTTCTCTTACCAGACTGCCCTGTTGGATTTACAAGAAGGTGCCAGCCAGCACGTTCAGCTTTTTACCGGGTTCTGAGGATCCAACCTCAGGTCCATATGCTTGTTTTACCAACTGAGCCAGCTCTTCACTTATTTCTTATTTATTTACTTATTTATTTGGTGCTTTAAAATGGACTTGGTGGCACATCCTGTAATCTCAGCATTTGGGGAAGTAGAGGCAGGAGGGTCACTATTTTCAGGTCATCCTCAGCCACATAAAGAGAACCCAGCCTAGGCTACATGAGAACATATCTAACAATAATGGCGTCATCAAATAAAAAGAAGATTGCCAAAAAAATAGGATTGCTGAAAGTTTGGAGCTATCTTGGGGGACTGGAGAGATGGAACAATGGCTAAGAGCATTTGCTGTTCTTTTTTTTTTTTTTTTAAAAAAAAAAAAAGCTTATAAATAATACATACAGCGAAGCAGTATTCAATACATCTGCCCAGAGTGCTCTGGGCGGATTCAATTCTCAGCACTCACAAGTAAGCTCACAACCATCCTTAGCTGAATTTCCAAGGGATCTTCTGGCCTCCATAGGCAGGGCACACACACAGTGCACACACATACATACAGGCACATGCTCATACATAAAGTTAACTTTTTTTTTTACATGTTGTTTTTTGAGACAGTCTCACTGTGTAGTTCTGGCTGTCCTTGAACTCTCAAAGATCAGCCTGCGTCCTGGTGCCGGGATTAGAGGCCTGCACCACCACGCCCTGCTCATTTAAAAACAAAACAAAACAAACACAAAAACAGGCCGGGCATGATGGTGCACGCCCTTACTATCGGCACTTAGGAGGCTGAGGAGAGCAGATCTCTAAGTATGAGGCCAGCCTGGTCTGCAGAGAGAGTTCCAGGACAGCCGGGGCTACACAGAGAAATCATATCTCAAAAAAATCAAAATAAATAAATAGATACATAAATGAATGAATGAGGAAATAGGAATAAATACAGCATTATGGAAAATGAATGGTAGAAAGACAGAGTTAGGCCTAATCCTAGCTGAAGGCAACAGAGGTGCATTACAGCCTAATGGGAAGAATCAAGCCTGGAGCACACTGGTTAGGAAAAGCATCTACCTCATAATCATAATACCTAAGGGGGTAAGCCACAGACATTGTTTCTTATCTTTTAAAAATTTTTATTTTTAGTATTTTTAATTGTGTGTGTGAATTTAGATGCATGCAGAGGCCAGAGGAGTTAGGTCCTCTTGGAGCTGGAGTTGCAGACAGTTGTGACATGGGTGCTGGGAATTGAACTCAGGTCCTCTGCAGGAACAGTATATGCTCTTTTTTTTGGGGGGGGGGGAGGGGGAGGAGTGTAGTCTTTCTCTGTGTAGTCTTGGCTATCCTGGACTCACTTTGTAGACCAGGCTGGCCTGGAACTCACAAAGATCCACCGTCCTCTGCCTCCCTGCGTGCTGGGAGTATAGTCCTGTGCCACCACACCCGACTCAGTTTAAGATTCATTCACTTATTTGTTTTTTGTTTTTTTTTTTTTTTTGTGGTACTGGAGATGGAACCCAGGGCCTTGAGCAGGCTAGTGCTATACCGCTGAGCCACACCCCCAATGCAGTTCTCATAGTTATGGTATGAGAAGTGTTTCTGGAAGTCACCTTAACTGCTGAACTCAACAGGACTGAGTCACCACTCGTAGGAAGAATGCAGGGTTAGATGCTCTGTCCCTCCCTCCCCTCCTCCTCCCCTCTCCGTATGTACATATGTGCACACCGAGGCGTGCACAGGAGACGAGCGGCTGATATCAGGTGTCTTTGTGGATTATTCTCCACCTTATTTCTGAAGGCAAGGTGTTTAAAACTCTTTTTTTCAAGGCTGGATGTGGTGGTGCACGCCTTTAAGCCCAGCGCCTGGGAGGCAGAGGCAAGAGGATCTCTATGAGTTCCAGGACAGCCAGGGCTACACGGAGAAACCCTGTCTCAAAAAACAAACAAACAAAAAATTTTAAAGGCCTGGTGACCTCCACAGGCACTGGGCACACATGTGGCACACACATTCAGTCAAATCACTCCTCTACACAAAATAAATACATTTTAAGATTTTAAAAAATATTTTATTTTTAGGGGTATGTGCCGAGTAAGCTTCTGTGTACTATGTGTGCTCCTGGTGTCCACAAAGGTCAGAAGAGGGTGTTGGGTCCCTTGAAACTGGAGTGAGAATGGTCGTATGCCACCATGTGGGCACTGGGAATGGAACCCAGGTCCTTGGGAAGAGCTTCTAGCGAGTTTCAGGGATCTGCCCATGGAGGCAGGGTTTATGTTAATACTAGGGATCCAAGTTTAGGTCCTTATGCTTCACGTATTTACTGGCTGAGCCAACTCCTAGCCCAGAGGCCTGTTCTTGCAAGGCCCTGCCCATAGTTTCATAAACTGCGTGGCAGATTATTTTATGTGTTTGTTTAAAGGCATCTTATGTAATCCCTGTTGACTAATATTAAACCCATGCCCCACAGCCTGTAATTCACGATTGGAGTGGTTTCTCCCACACATGTCTTATCTGTAAGGTTATTAGGCCATTCTAGCACTCTGGGCAGGAAACAGTCTCTCACCCTTATGCTTGTAGCCATTTAAAAGAGGAAGATAAGCAATGCAAACCACCACGAAAGATGTAGAAACAAAGAGGATAGATATTCTGTAAAATAGGCACACTCATGCAGTGAGAGGTGAAGCAAGAACAGGAAGTATTTCCTTGCTTCAGCCGGGAGTATGACTCAAGAATGTTTAACAGCCAGTGTGGTGACACACACTTTTTTAAAAATAAATTTACCCATTTTTATTTTCTGTGTTTTGCCCCCACATGTGTCTGTGTGAGGCTGTTGGAGTCCCTGGAACTGCAGTTACAGACAGTTGTGAGCTGCGATGTTGCTGCTGGGAATTGAACCTGGGTCCTCTGGAAGAGCAGCCAGTGCTATAAACCACTGAGCCATTTCTCCAGCCCCTTGATACATACTTTTAATCCTCACACTCAAGAGTCAGAAGCTGGTGGATCTCTGAGTTGGAGGCCAGTTTGCATACATAGCAAGTTCCAGGCCATTCAGGCTACACAGTGAGACCCTGTCTCAGCGTGTGTGTGTGTGTGTGTGTGTGTGTGTGTGTGTGTGTGTGTGTGTAACTGATTTCCTGGGTCATCTGGAAGAACAGCAAGTCCTCTTTTCTGCTGAGATATTTTTATAGCTGTAGGGGGCTCAATTTTTTTTTTTTTTAGTGGAAAACTGAAAAAAAAAATGCCACTGATTTTGGTATAAGTGTTAGGAAATAGGTGAGTGCACAAATACGTAATTTGTGAATAATGAGGATCAAATGTACTAGTGAAATAAATAAACATGAAACTGTCCAAAATACAAAAAGAAGACTGGGAAGACAGCCTCAGTTTGGATCCCCAGCATTCTGTAAAAGCCAGGTATGGCAGCATGTGTCTATAACTCCAGCAAGGGGGGAGGTGGGAGAGTGGATTCTGGGAGCTCTGACAGTCATTCCAGTCAAACCTGAACTCTGAGTTCAGTGATTGTCCTTGTCTCAGTAAGATCATGGGGCCAGAGAGGTGGCGGGCGTAGTGGGTAACGGTGCTGGCCTTGAAAGCCTGCCAGCCTCAGTCCAAGCCTCAGAACCAGGGAAAGGTGGAAGGACACAGCAGACTCCACAACACTGTCGTCTCATTTCAAATGCACACCACGGCACACACATGCCGTCGCAGCTACCCGCCTCACATGCACAGGCCATAAAAAATAAGTAAAAGAAGGCCAAGCCTTGGTGGCACACACCTTTAATCCCAACCCTCCGGAGGGCAGAGGCAGGCAGAGCTCTGATTTTGAGACCAGCTTGAGCTACATATTGAGTTCCAGTCCAGGTAGGGCACATCTCAAAAAAAAAAAAAAAAACGAGGCCACATAATCATGCTTTGTATGTATACACATGCACACACACATGTACAGTATGTGTACACAGATAGAACTTCACAGACATACTTTGTGAAAGTATAGATGTATAGATTCGGGGCTGGAGAGATGAGTCGGTGGGTAGGGGCAAGGGCTAGATTGGGTGCTAGATTGAGTTCCTAGCACCCACAAGGTGACTTACAACCATCTGTAACTCCAGTCCCAGGGGATCCATACCCTCTTCTGTGTGAGGACACCAGGCATGCATGTGATGGTTACATACGAATATGTGCAAAACACTCATGCACATAAATGAATCGAAAAAAACCCTCAAGTGTAAAGTGTGACCGCTGGCTGGAAAAAAACGTATGCCAGAACACAAACGGTTCATTGACATCAAAGGCTCACAGCAAAGCCACAAAACTGTGTGAATTTGGAAACTGAGGAACGTATCTGCAAGATGGGCCCCACTACCACCAGCCAGACATGGGGAGACATGAACCAAATCGTAGCGGGAAGCTTTCACGTGGGAACCGGGGTCAGCGGTGGGGCCATCCACCTCCTCTGGGCTGAGGGTCCCAGATGGATGTTTTCCGAATGTGCTTTCCCTCTTTCTGATTCTAGGTGACAGTTTGCAGTGTAAGGGAGCCGAGCCAGTGTGGGAAGGATGAGTTCAAATCTGAGAACCTCGAGAACCTCTGCTGCCGACTGTGTCCCGCTGGTGAGTCCCAGGATGCTTTCCACAGGTCTGGCCTTCTGACTGGGAAAAGGTGCTACAGGCCTTTAGCTAGGGCTGAACTGGAGACTGCAGTGAGAGAGCTGGAATCTGACCAAAGAGTGTTATCTTGGCCACTGTCTGCTACTTGTCCTCCTGTTTACCCCCACCCAGGCACTGCCCCTGGCTTTGGAGGACAGAAACCAGAGAGGTGTATAGCTTGTCCAGAGGTGTGTGCGGTGCACATGTCTGTACGCACACCTACCTGCAAACGCACCGACGTGCGCACTTACATGGAAACGAGTCTGAGGAAACCCATTTGGCCCTGAACACACACCTACCTATATTACGGGAACATAGCCATGTGTGAGTGGGATGAGACTGCCCTGACTGAACGCTGCAGGAGCTGGCACATGCGCAGAGCATACAGTTAGGCGTGTTTCTCTCTCTCCCGTGCTTCTGCCGTGGGCCGAGAAGATGGCCACAGTGTAACTAACGAGGTGGGGACCTTGATCAAAGACCTCATCTTTAGAATCTGGGATTCTGTGAAACCGTCGTGGGATGTCAGGGACCCGGCATGGGAGGGGGAGACGGACATGAAGGCCTCTTGCAGGCCAGCTCTCTGGGCTGTGGAGTAGAGACGAAAACCTTCTCTCAGACACCCTGGAGGACATCAGTCTCAGCCAAGGGTTAAGGCAGGGCCTCCACGCATTAATCATGAAGACTGTGGCTGCGTATTCAATTAGGAAGTTCCAAGGGGACCGGGGGCCCAGGAGAGGGTAATGTGACGCCAAGGGCGTCGGGGAATAGGGCTTTGCTGGGCTCCCAAACACTTCTTTTTCCTGTCACATAGGCACCTACCTCAGAAAGCCATGCCAGAAGAACCATGATGAGAGTGACTGCTCCCCGTGTGAGACTGAACACTTCACAGCCCACAAAAACAGGGAATCTCAGTGCTTACCCTGTGCTCAGTGCTGGAAAGGTAAGTGTGCAGCCGTGGCTACAGGGCCAGCCTCTCCACTGATGGTTAAAGCTAGCAGACTGACAGGGGGAGGAGCCACAGGAAAGAAGATGGAAAAATTTGGCTCCTTTACACCTCTAACCTGGTACCAAGGCCTGATGGGCTTTTTCTCACCACCCACCCATTCACCCCTCCCCCCACATAGGGCTGGGAGGGCTCCATAGCAGAGCGCATGCTTGAAAGGAAGAGTTGGGGGGACTGGTGGGCCCTGTTCCTCGCCGGGGAGGCGGCTTGTTGTGTCCACTTGGTCCCTGCGTTAGACGGCAGGCTGGAGGCAGATTATGTGCCTAGAGGGAAGAGCCTGCGATGGTGACTTTACTGTGTCATGGGGTGATGCGTACACTGGGACAAACTCCCATGCTGATGACTGACCTGCTTTCACAGACCAGGAAGAGGTGTCCAAATGCTCCAAGAATGCTGATCGTAAGTGCCAGTGTAAGCAGGGCACCTACTGTAACTCTGAACACTGTGAGATGTGCTACCCGTGCAGCAGGTACCAACTGGGGGGAGAGACGAGTGTAGTCCCCTAGCCTCCGAGTCCCTGTGTGTAGAGGGCCTCCTGAGGGTAGCAGCTTGCCACATAGATGGGATGTTTCCCCCAGCAGCTCCCTGGAGTCAGTCCTCATTCATTTGCTAACTCATTCACTCACTCAACAACCTTTGGGCCTCAACAGGGAGAGACACACAATGGAGACACATGCAGAGCATTAAGGCCATTCGTGGTGGACTGGGGGTGAGGCTGAGCTGGTAATGTTTGCTTAGCATGCACAAGGCCCTGTGTTTTGTCCCCGGGACTGTATAAACCAGGAGTGGTGGTACAGCCTGTGATCCTGGCACTGGGGAAGTAGAAGGAGGAGGATCAGGAGTTCAAGGTTGACTACATAGTAAGTTTGAGATGGGCTTGGGGTAGGGATACTGTCTAAGAAAACACTGCTGGTGATGAGTGAGTTCATGGTGGGGGAGGCCACTGCACACTCACTCGACACTTAGCCGGAGGAACTGACGAGATTACCGTGGAGTAAAGGCTCAGTGAATCAGGGAGAGATGGAAGCATAGTAAGTTCACACACAGTGAGTTCTAGGGAGTTCCAGGCAAAGAGGATGGCAAAAGGGACTCACTGTTGAGAGTGGAGGAAAGCTAGAGAGACGGCCCAGGGCTAAGGAATGTGCTGCTTTTCTGAGGACCTGAGTTCAGTTCACTGCACCCACATCAGGGGACTCAAAACTGCCTGCAGCTCCAGCTCCGGGGACTCTGATGGCCGCTTCTGGCCTCTGTGGGCACCGGCACTCAAGTGTACATTATACACAGACACACACATATGCACACATGTAAACATAAGATAGGTCTTTAAATGAAGGCATTCTGTGGGACCAGGGATGTAGCTTAGTTGGTAGAGTGCTTTTGTAGACCTGGATTCAATCCCTAGCACCACCTATACCAGGTGTGGTGGTTTGGCTATAATCCCAATACTCCTGGAGGCAGGGTGCTCAGAAGTTCAGAGTCATCTTTGCTTGCATAACGGGTTTGAGGCCAGCCTGGGCTACATGAGATTCTGCCTTAAAAAAAAAAAAAAAAAAAAAATCTGGTGGCCACTTAACGATGACTGCAAACAGGGAATAAAACAGAAAGTTCTGTATGGTTCTGGAGCCCACAAGGCCAACATCAAAGACCAGAGGTGTCCACAGGGCCTCACTCCCTCTGCAGGCGCTAGGGCAGTTGTTTTCAATCTTCCTAATGCTGCAGACCTTTTTAATACAGTTGTGGTGACCCCCCACCATAACATATCTATCTATCTATCTATCTATCTATCTATCTATCTATCTATCTATTTATTTATTTTGTTGTTGTTTTTGAGATAAGATTTTTCTGTGTAGCCTTAGCTGTCCTAGAACTCACTTTGTAGACCAGGCTGGCCTCAAACTCACAGAGAGCCGCCTGCCTCTGCTTCCCTGAGTGCTGAGACTAATGGTGTGCCCCACCATCACCGCCTGGCTCATAAAGTTATTTTTGTTGCTACTTCATAACGGTCATTTTGATACTGTTATGACTCATAATGTAAACATTGTTAAATAAATAAATATTTTTTTTAGTGCGCATAGGTGTTTGCCGGCATGCCTGATGCTCGTGGGCACCCAAAGAGGGTGTTGGATCCTCTGGAACTATGGTTGTAGCTGGTTGTGAGCCACTTTGTAGATGCTGGGAATAGAACCTATGTTCTCTAGAAGATCAGCAAATGCTCTTAGCCACTGGGCCATCTCTACACTCACACACACACCCTTCTATTTGATAAGGCATGGTCTTATCGTCTATCACTGGCCTGCCTGGAACTTGCTATGTAGACCAGACTGGTTTGAACTCACAACATTCTGCTTGTATCTGCTTCCCGAGTGCTGTGATTTAAAGACATTCACAACCACACCAGGCAATATCTTATACCTGGGGGGCAGGTTATACACCCATAAACGTAATTCAGAAGTCACTGAACTGTGAGTAAAGACTGCTCTCAACTCCAGTTTGATGGAGGCTCTTGCTTGACTGCATATGCTTGCCTCTTCCTCGTTCACACTGTCTTTGTCTCTAGGCAGACTTCCCTCTACATGGTGGGATAGCAGATCTGGTATTCATAGCCAGGCATTCTATCTTGTAGGGGAGAGAGAGGGTCCTTCCCCTAAATATCACAGACATTCCTAAACTCTAATTTCTTCAGAGTGCTTTTGGCCAGAATGGCAAAGTGTAGCAGGGCTGTGCTGGGGTGGGGTTGGTCCTGTGGTTAATGAAGAGTGATTTCTGGGCTGCTGGGTGGAAGGAAGCAACACACTCTGCTTTCCTTCCAGCTGTCCTAACGGCACAGTCAGAAGCCAATGTAATGCCACGATGGACACGGTGTGTGACACAAACAGTTCAAAGCCAGGTAAGGGTCTGTCTCCTGAGCTCACATTAAAAATGTTCACTGGTGTGCTGGCTAGTTCTTCATGTCGACTTAACACAGGCTAGAGTTAGGTAAGGAAAAGAGAACCTCAACTGAGAAAATGGCCTCCCTCAGATCGGCTGGTAGGCAAGCCTATGAGACATTTTCTTAATTAGTGATTGCTGTGGGAAGGTGCTGTCCATTGTGGGTGGAGCCACCCCTGAACAGTGGTTCTGGAGTTTATAAGAAAGCAGACTGAGCAAGCCATGAGGAAGAAGACAATAAGCAGAATCCCTCCATAGCCTTGGCATCAGTTCCTGCCTCTAAGTTCCTGCCTTGAGTTCCTGCCTTGACTTCCCTGATGATGGTCTCAAGATGTAAGCTGAAATGAACCTTTCCTCCCCAAGTTGCTTTTGGTCATTGTCTTAGGGTTTTATTGCTGTGAAGAGACACCATGATCAGGACAACTCTTATAAAGGAAAATATTTAACTGCGTGTCTTCCTCCATTGCTCTCCTCTTTTTTAAAATTTGTTTTTTAAGTATGCATACACATGCACATTATATATTATATATTATATATTATATATTATATTATATATTATATATTATATATTATATATTATATTATATAAGATAATATATAATATGTTCAGTCCCCAGAAACCTGAAACCGACGGTGAAGGAGAGAACAAACTGAACAAAGCTGTCCTCTGACTGCCAAACACATAACAGTAAATTGTTTGTTCGTTTTTAAAATGGAGCTAGGGAGCTCAGTAGTTAAGAGTACTTGCTGCACAAACAGGAGGACCTGAGTTCAAATCCCAGAGCTGTGAGTGGCTCTGCTTTCTTCTCTCAGACTCACTGGATGTCAGCCTGGCTGCAGGTTCAGGGAGAGACCCTGACTCAAGGGAATAAGGCAGAGAGTAACAGAGCAGGACAAGTCCTCCTCTGACCTCTGCATGTGTGTGGAAGAACACACATGTACATATACACACACGCACACACACACACACACAAAGCATGTAATAATAAATAATAATAAAATGAAGTTTAATAAATAATAAAGTAAAAAATAAACATCCAAGTGTGGCAGTACAGGTCTGTAGCTCTATCAAGGCAGGAGGAGACTGAATTGAAGGCCAGTCTGGGCTGTATATCTAATACTAGACCAGTATTAGTCAGGGATACATAGCAAGATCTTGTACCAATAAATACACAAACAAACAAACAAATAAGTAGGAGCTGGAGAGATGGCTCGTTGATTAATAGTACTTGTTGCTGTTGCAGAGGGCCCAGGTTCAATTCCCAGCACCCACAAGGCAGCTCACAACCCTCTGTAACTCCTGTTCTAAGGGATCTGGCGCCCTCTTCTGACCTCCACAGGCACTGCATGCACACAATGTGCATACACATAGACAAAACACCTAAACACATGAAAATAAATATTAAACACTAAAAATAAAGTAAATAAATAATGAGCAACAATTTTAGAAGGATACTTAATACCAAAAACAATAAATAAATACATACATACTAAATACAAATGTCTTATCTGAGACTAGGAAAACCTTTAGCTTGAGTGATGTGTGGGAGATACTGGCTTTGCAGCTACTGATAGAGCCTAAGAGTTCACAGTTCCCTCTAGCCTGATCCTGTGTATCTGCATCCTGGGCTCTCCCTGGGCTTGATTTCACAAGGAGTGAGGCCAGGACTCCTGAATGGTCTCATCAGTCTGTGGGGAGCAGAGCCACTTGCTGCTGTTCCCTTGCTCCTTCCAAGGACCTTAGCAGGACCATGGCCTCTGAGCCTGGACAGGAAGGAGGAACTTCTGTGGTTTGTCACTCTAATAAAGACTTCTCTGCCTTGGCAGTCTCCTCTTTCATTCCAGGAATGTCAGGCTATCAAAGTCCCTGCTGCTCTGAGCCTCAGGCTAATCTAATTTTCTCAGCTGCTATCATCAGCATCATTGCTGCTGTCATCATCATCATTTATGTCATCATTCGTGCAATCATTTGGTGTTCTGATAAAAGAGGTGAGTGAATGCTGGGCAGTAGTGGCGCACCATTTTAATCCCGGCACTTGGGAGACCCCAGCAGGTGGATCTCTGTGTTTGAGGCCAGCCTGGTCTGTAGACTGAGTTCCAAAACAGCCAGGGCTACACAGAAACCCTGTCTCAAGAAACACACCAAAAGAGGTGAGTAAAAGCCAGAGCAGTCTGTGTATCCATGAGAAAAATGCGTGTGCACTCACATGTGCCACATACATGCAGGTGCCCAGAGACCGAAGTATCCGATATCCTGGAGCTGGGATTACAGGTGTCTGTGAGCTGCCTCACATGGGTACTGAAAACTAAATTGGGGTCCCCTGAAAGGGCAGTGTTCACTCTTACCTGCTGAACCATCTCTTCAGTCTCAGAAGAGGCAGGAGTGTTTGATAAGGCTCTGGGTTTCTCTTTGTAGGAAGAACAGTCCCAAGGAGTGTCAACAGCAGCAACTCACGTAAGTGAATCATAGTGGAAGTGAGTGCCTTGTAGGGTACCCCCAACCTGGAGCAGGGGACAGAGGGATGGGCTAAAGGGGCTCCTGCATTTACACACAAACACACACACACACACACACACACACACACACACACACACACACTGGCAGAGGTTCAGCTATATGGTGCCAGGTTTTAGAAACACAGATAAGAGTTTGCTATGCATTCAAGACATTTCCTTTCCCCTGAGGAAGACACTACACCAATGAATTCACTGTGTGTTTCCTTTTTTTCTGATTTTAGGAGAGGAGAGGAGTCAGCTTTGTAAGTAGTGTGCTGCAAAAATCTTTTTTTTTCCCCTTCAGAATCTCATATAGCCCAGGCTAGCCTCAGGCTTGCTATGAGGGTCTTGAATTTTAAGAAACTTTTTTAAAGTATGTGAATGTTGTTTTTAACCTATGCATATGTCTGTGCACTGTGTATATGCCATGCCTGGATGGGTCCCTTGGAACTAGAGGTACTGATCCTCCCTGTGGATTCTGGGAACTGAGGACAGGAACCCTGCATGAGCAGCCAGTGCTCTTAACACTGAGTCTGAGCAGGAGCTCCTGATTCGCCTTTCTCTACCTTAAGTACCACCACACGCAGTTTCCTGGGCTTTGTGGGTACTATGTCATTTCCTAGAAATTCATGATGGTGGCTCCTGACCCTCCCATTGCTGTGTGCTCAGGTCTTCTTAGGGTGGCAATTCAGTTTCAGAAAGCTGGGCGGTATGGCAGGCTAGGCCTCCCCACCTTCATCTTTGGGTTTCGTTTGTGCCATGGTGTCTGTGTCCTTTTTCTGAGAGCCGAAGTGTGCTCTGGAAAGAGACTGAGGTTCTAGCTCTTTAGACACTGAGTAGAAACTGAGGCACAGAAAATCAAAGGGAGGTGTCCTACCTTTATAAAGAGAAGAGTGCCATAAGCTGTTGTAACAGATGACTGCAAAGTGGAGGTCAGCCCATCAGGAATGCACTGTCCCACCATTCTTGGTGGTTAGAAGTCTAAACCTAAGGGGTGACTAAAGCTAGGTCTCTCGGTGGCTCAGAGAGTCCCCCCTCCTGTCTTTCTTCTGGGCACTGCCAGTCCTTGGCTTGAGGCTGCTTAAGCTAGCCTGCCACCATCTTCAGATGTCAGGTGGCCCACCCCCTGCCTGACCAGCTCTTAGCATGTGTCCTCACCTAAAAAAAAAAAAAAAAAAATCCAACTAAGATCCTAGTTGCAGGCAACTGGTCAGGACATGGGCTTATCTTTTGGAAGTCATAGGTAACTCCACAGAAGGCTTGTCTTAGGATATGGTCAGGCCCTGATGTCACATGGTATAGCTCTCCCTGGCTGGCCTGCCAGCTGCATGGCATCCCTTCCTCTCAACATGCCTTGGGTGGAGCTAACCACCTTGCCAGGCACTGCCCTGAATTCAGGGTAAGGAAGGACAGGGACAGCCTCTACAAACCGTTCATCCTGAGCCTCTGGCCTTCCTAGAAGAGACCAGAAGTTCCTTCCAGAAGGAAGACTGAAGCCACGTTGGGCTTGGCTGCTTCCTGCCACCTGAGTAATAAATGAATTAGTGACAGTCTTAACTGGCCCTGTCCCAGCCTGGGTCTCCTGACCACTGGGGATTACTTGGAAACACAAAGAACCTCCCATATCTTGAGAAGCAGAGTCACAGAAGTGCTGCAGCTTTCCTCCAGAACATTCTAGTAATGTAAATAGACTCTTGGTTTTGTATGTGTGTGTGTTTGTTGTTTGTTTTGTTTTTTCAGCCACCACTATGCTATGAAGTTCTAAAATGTAGAACTTCAGATGGTACTCCTGACGCTCCTTGGATTTATGGACACTGAGATTTCTGCGCATGGAAGTTGAGGAAGCAATGAACATGGCAAGCTTGATAGTGCTGTTTCTAAACTTGAGAGTGGCCTCCTGGAAACTAATAACTATACATGTGTTTGCAAATTGTGACTATTTAGATGCTAAAAATTGTGTTTCCTGGGCCTTCAAGCTGGAGTCAACTGTCTTTTGGTACAGGACTGGGCCATCCCAAATAGCCCAGCTGAATTTGGAGCCAGCACCCATCCCGCTGTGAACCCCAGATGTGTGATGTACCCTTCTCTTATGTAAAGCCCAGCTGTCCCGTGTGCAGCCAAGGGCTTCCCTCCTCAAAGCCTGCTGTGGCCTCAGAGACCACAGCTGAGCTCTGAACTTGTCAGCTAGAGCCAGTTTGGGCTAAGAATGTCTTCCTAGGAGCCAGGGATGGGAAGACATAATTGTTGTCCTTTGAGCCCATCGGGCACCCTTGATCTACATTGGGATTTGGCCCAGACAAGGTGCTCTGTTACACATATAAGTTCACCACAAAGACCTCTAGCAGGCATGCCTGAGCAACTGTGGACCCAGCCACACCAGGCACCGGGAACACTGTCCATGCTTTTTGGCTATCCATACCTCAGGCACAGGAACTAGCCTTAGATTCGATTCCTCTCAAACTACAGTGAGTAGGTGTGTGTGTGAGAATTCCTCAGAAGAAGCTATGTCTACATAGGTTCATTGACTAAATGATCTGGAGAGGTATAGCTAGGCTGTTCCAACCTACTACACAGTGGATGTTTTGCTTCCCTCTGGGTCAGACCTAACATCCTGTAGAAAGCAGTAGGCATGAGAAGCACTACAGAAACCAGGAATGTTAAACACACAGGGTTGTCTCCTCAACAGAGGAGATGTATAACCTGTCTTCCACCCTGAATGCTGGTGTGAAAGAAACTTTTTTTTTTTGTAATTTATTTATTTATTATGTGTACAGTGTTGCCTGCATATGTGCCTGCAAGCCAAAAGAGGGCATCAGATCTTATTATAGACGGTTTTGAGCCACTATGTGGTTGCTGGGAATTGCACTCAGGACCTCTAGCAGACAGTGCTCTTAACCTCTGAGCCATCTCTCCAGCCCCTAAAAGGAACTTTTATTTACCGGGTTCAGTTGTTGTTTCAGAGGCTTACTGCCTCTGTCTGCTAGCCTAGGCCTAGTCCTGGAAGCTTCTAGCCTCCATACAATCTAACCTAGGCCTAGAATTTTTTTCAGCCTGTGAGACTTACTGCTTAATAAGCTCACCCTTTCTTGTTCTTTTTGGACTCTGGCTGGCTTGTTCAGCTCAGGGGTTCTGGCTCAAGCTCCTCTCCAAGCTGAGTGACTCAATCTGGCTTTTCTCTTGGCCCCTGAGTTTCTCTGCTTGGCCTCAAACTAACTCCAACAATCTTTTCTAATCTTCCGACTCCTTCTCGTCTTCTGGCTTATTCTGTCTTCACCTGTGTCTAGCTTGTTCTCTCATTCAACCTCTCCATGGAAAACTCTCCAGTAAAACTCCTCTTCTCTCTCTGCATTGCCTCTTAAGTAACTTCCCTTTCCTTTTTCTTCTCTGGAGAGTTGGGTGTATCCTATTTTGTCAAATCTTTTTTCTGATTCATCAGCTTTTCTGTCACTCAGACATCACTTTCAAACATGGGTACTTTCTTCTACAAACTAATTTTACCTTCACTGTTTGGGGTTAAAGAAATGTATTGCCATGCCTGGACCTAAGCTTTTCTTTACCTGAAACTTGTTTTATACCAGGCTGGCCTTGAACTCAGATCTGCTTTCCTCTGTCTCCTGGATTAAAAGCAGGTTTGTATTCTAGCTAGATCACACAGACCTAGAAGGTCTTTGGATGTGATCTCTTGCCAGAGCAGCCATGTTCTAAATTAAAATTCCTCTTCAGGCTGGGAATGGATGTAGTTAACAGCCTGGTTATCTGTGTTACCTGTAGAACCAGATCACACTTGAATCTCCCAGACTATTATGTTTGTTTATCCCAGATTCTTCCTCTCTAGGCCATTTTCTTGAGCACTGTTTCTAGTTTAAAAACCATCCTTATGGGAGATGTCATTTGTACATTACAATAGCCTAGGTCATGTGGCCTCTGTGCTATCTATAGAGCCAGGCTACTACTGACTTCCACAGTTTCTTCCTCTTCCTCCTCCTCTTCTTCTTCCTCTTCTTCCTCTTCCTCCTCCTCTTCTTCTTCCTCCTCTTCTTCTTCCTTTTCCTCCTCTTCTTCTTCCTCCTCTTCTTCTTCCTCCTCCTCTTCTTCCTCTTCTTCTTCCTCTTCCTTCTCCTCTTCCTCTTCTTCTTCCTCTTCTTCCTCCTCTTCCTCCTCCTCTTCTTCCTTCTCCTCTTCCTCCTCTTCTAAGATTTTTCCTTCTCTTCTTTCTCTTCTTCTTCCTCCTCCTCCTCTTCTTCCTCTTCTTCTAAGATTTTTCCTCCTCTTCTTCCTTCTCCTCTTCCTCCTCCTCTTCCTCCTCTACTTCCTCCTCTACTTCCTCCTCCTCTTCCTCCTCTTCTTCCTCCTCCTCTTCTTCCTCTTCTTCTAAGATTTTTCCTCCTCTTCTTCTTCCTCTTCCAGGATTTATTTGTTATGTATACAATGTTCTGCCTGCATGTGTACCTGAACACTAGAAGAATGCACAGATCTCATTATAGATGGTTGGGAGTCACCATGTGGTTACTGGGAATTGAACTCAGGATTTTTGGAAGAGCAAACTGCTCTTAACCTCTGAGCCATCTCTGCAGCCCTCAACTTCCACAGATAGTTATATTTGTTTATCCCAGCCTCTTTTTCCCTAGACCTGTATGTTGAGCATTGTTTCTGAGTCAACAGAACAGACCTTTGTTTTTTATTTGCTTGTTTGTTTTTTCTCTGTACAGTGCTGGATATTCTGGAACTCATTCTGTAGGCCAAGCTGGCCTCAAACTCAGAGAGCTGCCTGTCTCTGTCTCCCAAGTGCTAGGATTAAAGGCCTGTACCACCATACCCAGCTAACAGAACTCTTTATGTAAAAATGTGTTAAGCTGTATTATACTCAGGGATTGAATTAATTATCATTTAAAAACATTTTTCCAAAATTGTTCTGGGCAAGCTGTGCTGTGGCGCATGCCTGTGATCCCAGCATTCAGGGAGGCAGA